ACTTTTGCTTTTCCTTTACATAATTTATCATCTGTATTATGTTCATTTTATGAGAATTCTCACTTAATTCAATCAAAAGTTTTTGAAGTGGTGGAAGAAGTAAGAGTAAATGTCCTGCATTCAAAACGTACTTAATAAAACTATATAACCAAATGTCCTTAAAGTATCAAAAGTAAAAGTATGTGTCATGTAGAATTATCCCTTTTAAAATGTTATGTTTCTTATTTTTATTGATGCATAAAATGCAAAGAGCATGTTCTGTTCTTGCTGGGTGAGGTGGAGATCATTTTAAATATTTCATATACTGTTGGAAAGTTAAACAAAGCCTCATTTTATAAGATGGTCATTATTTTATGTATGAAAATCTTAATTTGCAAAATAACAAGGGACTATTAGTTGTCAAATAAATGTAGTCAAGTAAAAAGCACAATCTTTCCCAATGTAATGGAATGGAATAGAAGTATAAAGTAGCACAAAATTAAAATACTCCAATAATGCCTCAAATTTGTATTTAAATCTACACTACTAATTTTATTTTAGAATGATACGACTCTACACTACTGTTGAGTTTAGTACCAAATGGCAGATATATTGTGCAAATCATAAACACTTGGACAATGAAATGTTTTTGTTGTTGTTTTGGTGCAGTAGCCCACACCACAATTGGATCTGACATAAAGCCATGGCTATAAGGTTAAAGTCCTGATGTTAGCTTCAGTGCAATTTGAGGATATATCCATATTGACTAAACAGTGTGAGGACATTAGGGGATATTAAGGGCTATAAGTCCAACAGTGTTCATCCGATATGGATGTAAACACCTTCAAGCACGCTTAAAGCAAGAAAAGTAGTAATTTTTAATCTCTGTTATTGTTTCATCTCAAGTCCAATGTGCTGGAGTAGAGCCAAAACAACATGAACTGTGTCACTGTTCAAGTACTATGAGAAGGCACTGTACATATGTTTCCATATGACAAGCAACTTTTCAATAGCATACATGACTGCATCAACTCCAAAGTACAAATGTGTTTTCTATGAGAGGACATCTATTCTTTTGTGTGTGAGAGAGATCCCTACAAATCCTGTTGTTCCATTCACTGAGGCTTTAAAAAAATATCAAGGCCTGGTACTGTGAAAGATAGGCTGGCCACCTGCCATTCACATCACAAAGGAATAGACTGACAGATGTATAGACAGGAGGTCAGATGGTCAAAGACTTTGTCATAATGCTAAACATCATTATATGGATGCACTGCTTAAGTCAGGCTCTGTCATTGAAGCCCCCTGCTCTTTGCTTCTGAGTTGTTTACGTGTGGTTCTATACATGTGCTAAATAGTACATCCGAGTGTTTTTGCCTTAACAAAGAGTTTTACAACAGTCATGAAAATGTATGGGTTGACAGGGAGACATGTAAAAAACCTCAAATGAATCCAAAAAAATGATGTCTCCTCAATTAACAGTATTAAGTGTTCAACAAAATGTCATCATCTTAAATGTTTAAAAGAGTCTGTGTGAATACTAAATAGATTTTTATGGCCACTATGGGGCAAGAAAAAAATCCACCACGACCTGGCGAACCTAGATCTGAGTATATTCCTTCTCCTTTTAGCTTTTCTATGGTTTCCTACCAACTCCTGAGGGAAACATTGTGTTCTTTAGTTAAAAAATGTCAGCTAAAAGATCCACTAGCATAGCTAACTTTATCTGTGTGCCATTTGGTATTTGGCAGTACATACAGTTGGTTAATTATAGTTGTGAGAGTGCTGAGACTGAACCATTCAGTACATTGGGAACATATTGTGCACAATAACCAAAATGATAAGTTAAAAGAGGCTAAAAGAGTTGGGTAATAATTCTGTAAATTTGTCACTTTGGGGTTAGCCCCTCCACATTACACATTTTACATTATTATATTTAATATTAAAAAAATATATTGATTCGTAAGGCATTAAATATATAATTTGTCTCTTGTACAAAAAGACATTACATTACATTTTTATCTGATATCCAATAATTATGAATATCCATTTATGTATTAATTCAGCTGCTCAACCAAGTACTTAAATCCGGCATCAGTAACAAAATATTGTTTTATATATATCCATCTCTCTCTCTCTCTCTCTCTCTCTCTCTCTCTCATATATATATATATATATATATGTATATGTATATATACACATATATAATATTATAGTGCCAAAGGGTTATATAGTGCCAAAGGGTTACAAAGTCTATGCAATATATTAGACACATGAATAATATCCATTTGTAAACCCAATGCTCTTATTGGTAAAGACAGTAATTGAAGTGACTTGAGCATATCGCTGTAGATGTTTTCTCCAACTTTAAATGAAAAACAAAAAAAAACACATCAAAAACAAAACATAATAAATAATAAAACAAAGTCTCTTCTGCCAGTCAAAAAAAAAAAACTTTTAAGTCATTAAGTTCTTAAGTAAATATTTTCCTTATTAAAACCTACATGACTTGAGTTCTATGCAGAGTTGTTTGTTTAAAAATGCCTTAATTTTTACAGGACATATGGTTGGATACATAAACTTAATAACTGCAGTGCTTTTAATCCTGGGACAGATTGTAGTGGTATAGTGTTGATGACACAGTAAACTGAATCGTTAATTTTATGCTCAAGAGATTAATGTGTATATGACGTTATCTGTGGAGGAAAAAAAGTGTTCCTTAAGAAGGTCAGATAGATTACAATCAGTCAGCCTGGTTTCAGAGCAAAAGAGATAAATGATTCTTATATATCGCAAAAAGTCAACAATTTACCCTTAAATATGTTTTTGTTTTCTTTAGTTGTTTCTGTCAAACAAACATACAAAATATTGAATATCCATGGCCAAATATCTGTGCCATATTCAAAAAGATGCCTTTGTATGGCACCAAGCTATTGAGTAAATGTGTGTGTTCTGAAGTAATGGAGCCATTTAATCACTAGGGGGAGACAGATGATTGGGGGAAAAAAGCCTGTGTTGACCAGAATATTTAGTTTGTAGTCTGTGCGTTATGTTCAATGGACGCATGGAATTCAGTTACAGAAAATAAAACTACAACTCCATATCCAATGTTAACCAATTATACATTAATGCAGTGGTTAGGTAGGGGTAGTCTAGCTGATTAGCTAAAGGAGGTTGTATAAAGGTTGTATAAAGACATGAGCATCTTTACACCATCCGTATGTGTTGAGATCAACTTCCAGTCATTGCTTCAAACTTGTTTTCATTAAGGAAGCAATTGCCCCTCACCAACCCACCCAGAAGAGTGTTTTCTAAAACTGGATGCTGGAACTTGTTTGCTATTTCACCTGTTGTGAAGCAGATGCAACACGGGCTGCCACACACACACACACACACACACACACACACACACACACACACAGCTGAAAGGGGGGCTGGCAGATTACTTGCAGATGCAGTACAGCATAGGAAATGTGGACTGCTTCATCAGCTTGTTATAGTGACTCATGCATGTTCTTAATGTCTACTCCGCACAATTAAGTGCACCTCTGCTGAGTCACGAAGACAGCGCAGTACTTATCCATGTTGAGTTGGAGTCAATACCAAGACCAAAATGGCTTGGTCATAGCATATTACGGCTGAACTCATAGCTTGTTACAAGTAAGTTTTAAAAACTATATTGGATTTCAGTCATTTCAGTGTATTTTCATAGTATTTGCAGTTATTTGTACATGTTTGAAATCAACTTGCGGATTTAAAATTAATGGAATTGTTTGATAGAAGCTGGAATAAAATAAATAAAATGCTTCCAAAGAAGAAGTTATTTAAAAATTAGGTCTTGTGGACTGAAAATAATTAGAATAAGAATCTTTACAACAAATGTCATTTTTTCCCCAAAGCTCCCTAGCATATATGCATTTCCGGAAACTGCCGGACTAAACAGTGATGCTGGCCTACCCATTAAACATTTAAAAGACAATAAACAGCAAACTTCTTGGCTAACACTACACGTATAGCTATGTTTTGTCTCTTGAAGCTTTTTTCTTCACTCTTATGGAATTCCCACATCAGGTCCTTTGGTTTTAGTCTGTGATCAATATTGATTCAGCTTTGTCAGTGCTCATATACTGTACTGCCAACTCATTTAGTGCCTACTGGAGGGAAGCTTTGGGCCAGCCACCCCTTTAGAGAACATCATGCTCATCCTGTGTCTACCTTTTATTCAGATTTTTGCTGGGTATTGATTGAAAGGGGTTTATTTTCCACAAGCAGTTTTACTAAGGAGCAGTTGTTGCCGCGGCCCAGAATCGTCGTGGCACTTTATGGGCTGGTATCATTTTCATCCCCTCTTTCAAGGCAAAATTAGCCATAATCTTAGCTTTTTTCCCCCCTTCTTTGTGAATTGTGAATGAGCAAGAGCTAATAAAAAAAGAAAAAGTCTTTATTTTAAGATGAGAGATTAATAGAGAGACTAAAATTAGGTTTCTCTACCCCCTTTGTTAACATCACATCCATTGTAAAGCATGCTTTCTGTCAGCAGACTTCAAAACTGAAGATGATATGTGGATTTCATGCCAGATATGAGCTCTATCCACTGGAAAGGATGAGCAGTGTCTCAGGCCAGGCCTGGGAAGCCACTATTGATTTTATTTTCCTCATGACAGAACGTCTGTATATATCAGCGCAGTGATTTTGTGTCTGCTGGGCACATTGCAAATTAGATCTGTGATCTGAGCCCGGGTGGTTCAATGTGCTTGTTATAAATAAATAAATGAACGAATCAAAACTTAATTATGTGTGACTCAACCGCACACAGTTCATTAATGGAGGGACTCAACAAGAAGCTCTTTGAACTTTGAGTGTGTGTGTCAACACCGTTGCTAATCGTATCACCCTCAATTAACTTTACTTCTTATTACTGGATAAACCCTCTTTGGAGAGAGGGGGGGACAAAGTCGGGGGAGACAGAGAGAGAGAGAGAGAGAGAGAGAAAGGAGGAGGATTTGCGTGTATATGTGTGCCCCCTACCCCATCCCTCCACCCCCCTATCTCTTTACAGGACTGCCAGCCCGTCTAGAGTTATTCCAGGAATGCGTTGAACATGGCTGCCGCGATGAAGGCGCAGAAAACGGGACTGCTGGAACTTCGAGTGACCGTGGACCGCTGGATCCGAGTGTTGGCCACACTTACCGAGGACACGCTCACGTTAAACCCCGGGGAGGGTGCCGAGGAGCCCGCGAAGCCGAACCCGAATCCCGCCGGTGCTATCAACGGAGACCCCCCGAACCTAAGCTCGTCCCCGGTCCCGGAAACCATCACCAACGTGAAGCGCACCGTGCGAGTTACCAAGCAAGATGTTGGAGGACTCGGAATCAGTATCAAAGGTAAGAAGAAATAATAAGTAATATATTTTTTTTAAAAAAAGGCGGCTAACGGCGAGTCAGTTAACAGAAGTTTTGACCAGGAGTTTGGGAGCAGTTTCTGTCAACGGCAGCGAAAACAACCGTCGAGTTGTCAGTTAGCGTTAACTAACTAACTAACTTCAAAACTGACCGTTAAATCTAACGTATGTGCGCGAACCCCCCACGTGTTGAAGACGTTTCGTAAAGACACGTTTTTATTCGTATTAATAACTCGCAACTAATACATTCAGACCTGTTGTTTGCACAGAGAAAAAAAATGACAGCTGTGATTATCTCAAGCTGCGCCTCACCTCAACGGGGAACCATTTCAGTGTCCGTCCCAGAGTCACTGCCGGAGATGGCAATTAAGTTAGCTAAGTTAACTGATACTTACTGTCGTACAACGTTAGGTTAGCTACTAATAAACAGCGAAACTCAAACTTAACTCGGTTAAGTTAATGAAAGGAGGAAAAACACGTGTTATTTTATGTTATTCGGTAACTTACTCGTTTTGGGTTTTAAAACACATTATAAAACATAATGCTTCTTTCCTCAAAAACACGTGTAACGTAAGCTGAACATGTAGAGGACCAACCTTTTTGTTTTTGTGTTGGATTTTGTAACAAAAGACTCACCAAAGAGTATAACGTTAAAGTGAGGCACATCTACTTACAACAGGGTCCCAACATGTTATAAAGCAGCAGCTGTCGGCAACTGTGTGCAGTTATTTTGTGTTATGAAACTAATTTATTGCCATATATCTTAAGGATGCTTACAGATAATCGCCATGTCACTGGAAGGTATGGCTGTGTGGAGTACTATATGGGTGAAAGTGCAATGACAGGAACAAGAGTAAATCTCATCACCGTTTCTACAGAATATAAATGAACTCCAGCTGGCTAAAGGATCTTTTATGCTGATGAACTTTGTCTATGAATGAGCAAAGATGAGAAGCCCCAGTGCATACTGTATACCTCGCTGCTGCTACATTATAGGTAGACCACCATTGCTCCAATAACCTCTCAATGGGAGAAGGTTGTGACCTCTCCATATCTTACAAGCCAGGCTTACATACCTGTGCTGTGTACTCTACAGCGGCTGATAGATGAATTTCCCTTGTCCTGTTTCCTCGACTTGCAGCAACAGGCAGCAATCTTGTTTGTGAAGAAGACTAGGAGAGTTGAACATCAGCTGTGTAAGCTGTGTAAATATTAAAGATGAGATACGCAGTGATAATGCAGTTTGATCAATACTTTCATATTGATATTTTGATTTTATATTTTGATAAGCTCAAATTTGGTCGGCTGTTTGAGATAGACTCAAGCACAGACTTTATCCCTTTTTATACTCTGCTTGGTTGCTTTATGGTTCCTTTTTTATGTTTATCATTCATATTTATTCATCATTCATTTCATAGTCACTTTACTCTTCCTGTGGTTCCACCCCTCTGGCCTATACTAAACTTATTTGGGGTTGAGAGTTGCCACTTACCCTGGGTTGTGAATCATGCACAATAATGATCATTCTTGTATGTATGTGTATGTGCATTGTGTTTGAACTTGTGTGCGTTTGAGTTAAAGCCTCCACCTCCTGACAGGTCTGCAGTCTGCATGTATTGACAGATTATTACTTGGTCGATGCACAGGGTCGATTTGATGGACAGCTGTGGACTAACACCATTGTCATGTTGCAATGATGGCACATTATTGTGGCTGCCAGTGAAATGCTAATTTTACTTCCCCCGAGGCTGCCAACAACAACAACAACAACAACAAAGCCAGCCCCTAATGACATAAATGTAATGTCCATCTCTGTGGAAATGGGTGGCTTTGGAAATCAGACAGCATGTTATTAAAACAAAATCATAGCTGGCACCCCGGTGGCTTGTCATTGTTGTGATGCTAGCTGTTCAAAGGCAGCGATGAAGAGAGGGAGGAAGAAGGATCTAGCAGAGGGATAGAAAGAGAAAGGCAAAGGCACAAAGACCAAGCCATAGATGAAACGGGACATGGAGCAAGCCATTGAACAAGAGGTCAATGAGTTGTAAGGGGAAAAGAATGAAAGAAAGATTATGAAATATATATTTTTAAAAAAAGTGTCAAAAAGAAACGAGGTGAAGCAAATGAAAGAACAGGGCAAAAGTTGTTAGCTGGCTAGCCCCCACCACATTGTGAACAGCTGAGAGGAGCAGTCCGCAGCAGGCAGTTGTCATTGGCCAGAGATGAAAGCTATGTGGCTAGGAGTGGACTACGGCACTAGTGTTAATTTTAGGGAGCCCACCCCAGCCTGCAGGGAAGCATGGAGGCAGTCAACCTTTACTCTCACATGTCTAAATTTAAGAGGAGAGGCTAGGAAGCGAGGCTCCAGACTCTCTAGACAGGCCCACTGGTCAGAGTGGAGAATAGTGTGTTTTTCCTGAACTACTTATATGCAAGCTTGGTGGATTTAACCACAATGCAAGTCACTGTAACTGTGAGTTTGAGATCAAGCAATTGGTGAACGGTATATAATAGCTTCTCTGACACAATTGTCCCACTAAGGTGGGACTTTTTGCAAGTTAAAGTCAATGCTGGGATTTTTGGGGCAAATATTATGAAACCATATTTCTTTTGTCACAGACCACCTCAGATGTGCACACAGACACTATTTTTTGTAAATGAACAAAGCTCAAGTGCAGTGTTATGTAACTAATCTCTTATTAAAAATGTATTCTCTCCTAATGTGTCTCTGCACTTTCACCAGAAATATGTACATACAATACATTTTTAGAAGTTTTGTGTTAAAAGTATTTTTTTTCCTGTTGTTTCTTCCAGTGTTCATTAGCACTGCATGCAACTCAGCTGATGCAGTTTGAAGAAGTAAAGTGCTGATCTTACAGCATTCTTTGAAAGGAGCATTATCACAACAAACACATTGTTACCACAGAATTACCTAATTAGGGACATGTCAGTGTTGCATAAACCAGTACCATTCATTTACCTGTCATGGGTAGCTCCAGTGGTTCCATCCCACCTCCACCACTACCACCCTCTTGTCAACTGAGTGACAGGCTGCCAGCTGTAGGGTGCTGAACTAAGTTTGACATGAAAAGTTAGGGGAAGAAAGGTAGGGATGGGAAGCAAATATGGGAGGATTAAGGGTTGTGTAGGAGTGGCAGACGTATTGACGGTATTTTTCCTACAATATGCCAAGGATGTTTATTCAGCAGTCACGTCAGTACGAGGTATTTCAGATTGGAAGTAAAAATGAAAGTATGTGAATAAAGAAAGAGAAACAGAAAAGACATAAAGGTGGAAAAGTGTGTACAGGACCCGTCACTGTTGTTGGCCCTCACCCCCTTCGGCTGCCACAAGGTCAGACTTGAAGACCATGAAGTTGTTTTGCCTCCTTATCAATTCACATATTCACTATCTATATGTGCCTACATGATTTTGGTGTTAATGCCAAGTTATTTTGACACCACTGTCATCACTTTGACAACGACGTCATTATCCGTCGGTTGACCAGGCTGTCGTCTTCCTACTTGTCCAACCATTGACTTTAAGTAGATTCTTCACATACTTTTCCACCATTCATCAACAGTAGCTAGTACTGCAGTTGGTAAAGTGGGAAGTGCTGTGGTGAACACTCATTAACATGAGATATTAGCGTGTCGGTTTTAATGAAGCTGAAAGGTCACTGACCATTTGACATTTGAATACGTTACCCTCTTTCTGGTTATTAAGTTATTTCTTATGTCACTCTGCTACATTCATACATACTTGTATTATTCTCCTATTTTATTTAATTCATCTTTTTTTTAGAATTCACTCACAAACTACTTTAATCTGCTCACCTGCTTTTCCTACATGATTGTGGTGCTGATGCCAAGTCATTTTGACGCCACTGTCATTATCATCCGCTGGTTGACTCAAATAACCAGGCTGTCTTCTTCCTACTTGTCCAACCTTTTACTTTAAGTGGATTCTTGACATGCATTCATCAACAGGAGCTAGTACTTCAGTTGGTAAAGTGGGAAGTGCTGTGGTGAGCACTCATTAACATGAGATATTAGTGTGACAGTTTTAATGAAGCTGAAAGGTCACTGACCATATTTTGCACTGGCAATCGCTGTTGAAGTCCATTGTCCCAAGACCCTACATCTATCTTTCTTTTGACTTTTATTTTCAATTTTAAATGTTTTAATCTTAAGTTCAGTGCACATTAGAGTACAACTGTTAAGTCAGTAATTGATGGATTTCTAATGTTAAAGCTCTAAAAGAACAGTGTGTAGGATTTAGTGGCAACTAGAGGCGAATTTGCAGATTGCAACTGAATACCGCTCGCCTTCCAAGCTTGTAGGAGACATTATGGTGGTGGCAAAATTTGCGAAAGAACTTGAAAGGTCCTATCTAGGGGGGCAACAGATCACAAAACTCAAGGTTCGGATCGTATCACCGTTTTCAGTTGATTTTTCAGATTGGCAAAAAAAAAAAAAGGGTAAAATTGATATATATGTTTTTTTATAATTGTTATAATACATTACCCTCTTTCCGGGAATTTTATTTCTTATGTCACTTTACTACATTCTACTTGTATTATTCTTACATTTTATTTTATTCATTTTCTATAATAAATCAAATCTCTACAGGGACAAAATTATGGTCTATAAAGTAGGGCTGGGTATTGTTAAGAACCTCACGATTCGATTCGATTTTGATTCTTTAGGTCTCAATTCGATTCGATATTGAATCGATTCGATATTGATTTAAATGCTTCGATATCGATTTAGTGCCGACTCACCGCGCCCCCACTGGCCAGGGGCTTGAACCGATTCAGAGGAGTTAACGAATCGCTATTAAATTGGGAAAAAATATATTGCAATGCATTGATGAATCAATATTTTTACCCACCCCTACTATAAAGTCGCCCAAAAAACACAACTTGCATTCAGATGCAATTCCGTTTTCATAACAGCAGGTGAACCGTGTATGGAGGAGGCTTTCTGTTAATGACATAGCCTATCAAAGCAATCGAAACCAACGTGGTAAGATCAAAATAATATCAGACATCTCTCTCTCTCTCTCTCTCTCTCTCTCAATTTTTAATTTAATTGGCTTTTTTTGCATGACGTTTTAAATCAAACATGTTGCAAAAGCAAAAAGCCTCATATAGAATACAAATACTACTTGTATAATACAATGAAATAAATACTAATATTACAATGAAATGTGTCTCTGCAGAGCATGTCAGTTGACGCATGGGAGGGGGAGAGTGACGGTCGACTGTCCACTAGTTACTGTTGTTCTGGTTCTTGTAAATCTGTTTTTTATTTTTTTTAAATAACCGTGGAGGGTGGTCTGTACGGATCAGGGATCAACTATGATCTAATGCACCACTAACCCTATCTAGAGCCAGTTTGGTCTGGGGAACTGTAGAAACATGGCGGTTATGGCGGACTCCGTAGATAAAATGTGTGTAACGTATGTGAATAAAAACGTCTCATTCTAACGGAACAAAAACACAACGATTCTTATTATACACTAATGAAAACATACCTATGAATATTATATTCCAATTCTGTCAGTAGATCCCCTAAATGTTACACACTGGACCTTTTTAGATGTGATACAGAAAATATGTCTTGTCTGGTTTATGTATTGCTTAAAGTACTATGGAGTCATCATGCGCTCAAAGGAGATTATTGTGCATGTAATAACAGTTTATATAGTGTTGCAGATTGGGGACAAAGGTAACATGAAGGTTACAGAAGCAACTTGTGACTGGAAGGTATTCAAATTTAATCCTCAAGCCAGCTGGTGAAGTTTGGATAGGGGCAGTAAGCAGAACACTGGCCTCACAGGGCAGCAGACCATTAAACTTGACATTCACAACCACAAATGTATTATTCTTTTCAAATAATTGTGTTAGATACTGAGGAGAGCGGCTAATAAGTACAGCCATGTATCAGGCGTGGCAATGTGGTTGTATCTGTCTAATTTGCTGACCTAGTGGTATGGCATGGTATGGTATGGTCTGAATGGCTCCAATAAACTGGCATGGAATTTCATATGTCCCCGCATAATCTACTTTATCTTTGTGAATGTTACTGTTCCTAAGGGTGCTTCATGTCTACAGCGTGTGGTCAAATCAGCAGACTTGATTTGCGCACAGCTGTTTATAATAGCCTTCAAGTACACAACGTCCCTGTCACTGAGTCTCATCCATGTAAAATGTCCAAGTCATTACTGTTAGCGGAAATTTTCTTTTTTTGACATTTTGGGATTGCATCCAAAAGACCAAAGGAGAGTAACAGAGAGCACTGATCAGCCCAATAGTTCCTCAGCAATACAATTTCACAGAAAGTCCATAGTAGAGCTGCAACTGCTCACCTAGTATTGTATAAATGCAAAACAGCAATCTCCTGTTCTTACAAAAAATTGGATGCTAGCTTTTTTTAAAAATGTTTCCTACAAGGTAACACAAGGCAACTTTACTGTGCTTTACTCAAGACACAGTGACAGCAACAACAGACAAAAAGTAAAGAAAGTAAGAGCTTGCAGATCTGAAAATACTCAAATGAAAAACAATGGTAAACAGATATTCTTTCAGTTTTGGCCTACAAGGAGAAATAGCTTGGAATTGGAATAGTTTGATAACATGGCATCCAGTAACTCGAGCCCCTGAGTGGGAATTGTTCTTCAGCTCCTTTCCAAGATGGCATACTCAGACGTTGGTTATGCATAAGTTTACAAAGGGCAGTATAGTTAGTAGTAGTATAGTAACTGGCTCATATCCTTGTAGTCCTCAGCCATCAGGAACACTTTATGCATACTGTGAGCTACATTACTTGAACAGAGACAGAATGTTGATGCTTGAAAGATTAGGTAAAATATACAGAGTGCATGTACCACTGTCCACTGCACTTTGCACTGTACAGAACTGTATAAGGCAATTGTCTATATGTTCCGGTGCCAAAATACAGTACATTTATGATATTTAAAGATTTGAAACAGTTGTTCAAGTTGGGTAGTATAAAGTTAACATTTGGTAGCTATTCGGATTAAAAGTTTGATGACATATATTGACTTCACCAACATTGCTGAAGATTCCCCTTCACCTCAACTCCACTTTAAAGTTTCTATCAACACATCATAATTCAGAGTCTCAGTAAGTACAGGACATCACCTCACTTCTAAGACTCAATCATACAGTAAACCACTATCTGATGCCACAGAGCGGTGAAGTAGCTGGTAAATCCCTCTTTCTTAAACTTGAAAAGCACAATGATTGATGTGCATAGTAAGAGTGTGTCAGCTCAGTCCTGGTGTTTTGTTTTACTAAGAGCACCAGGCTGTGGCCTCCAAAGGAAGATACATGAGTTAAATTCCAAGGAATCGCCCACAGGAAGCAACCTGTAGAAGATGTATTTAAAATTAATTAAATGTAATCCTCTTTTAGGTAATTTCTCACTAGCCTGAAGGCTAGAGTCAAAATGCCAGCTGACATTAATGACAACATCTTTCATGAAGAGTGGAAGCCCACAGCTAGAGGCAGATCCATCAGCTTACTAGCTGACCTTCATTTAACGAGAGAGAGAGGAAGGGAGGGGAAGAGATAGGAAACTGCAGAAGTAAGTTCAGAAGGGTAATCGCTGCTGTCTATGTCTGTCCTCATATGCTCTCTGCAGTTTAGGTCACTTTAAGAACCAGTCTGTAGGATTTAGTGGCATCTTGCGGTGTAGTCGCACTGGCGACCCACGGTCTCTGTACGCCGTTCAAAGGTAACAAAAACAGAACGATTCTTATTTTTAGGTGAACTTTAAATGTTCAGATATGAGCATTGGAATGGTTGGCACGGCTCAAAATTACATTTTGTCCTCCTGCAACTGTCTTGAATTCTTCACTTCATTCTTCTTCTTCGCCAAGAGGGTTTGAAAAGTTACTAAATCTAGGGAGAAAGTCAACAAGTTGGCTACATGATAGATTTTATGTGTGACATAGCAAAATAAAAGTCGTTCCATGACGCACTGCTCACGTGTGCTGTGTGGACTGGGCTTAAGACTGCTCTGATAAAGCTGATCAGGAGTCAGAATTTGAGTGTGAATAACTATACATAATGCACAACTACTGTATCTAAAGCAGTGGATTGATTCCTTAAACAATTATGAGAAACAGCAATATTTTCTCCTTCTTGTCTTTCAGGCGGGAAGGAGAACAAGATGCCAATCCTCATCTCCAAGATTTTTAAGGGCCTGGCTGCGGACCAGACTGAAGCACTGTATGTCGGTGATGCCATATTGTCTGTCAATGGTTATGACTTACGGGAGGCCACACACGATGAGGCTGTGCAAGCGCTGAAGAAAACTGGCAAAGAAGTCATCCTTGAAGGTAAGATATTTTTCCCTCCGAAAGAATCAAACCCAGAATTGACTGTGTGACTCGACGCAGTCTTTTCCATTCATTGTCCTCTTTCTGTTCTGTCTCTGCTTTGCTGGTATAGCGTTCTGCAGAGTGACAGGAAACTTAACTAAGCGTTAACTATAACACATGCTTGCAAAATATGTCACAACTGTCTCTGTTGCATGAGAAAGTACTTCACATTTCTTTAACATTATCCTCAGAGTAGGAGAGAACAGGATTCTAATCTTTCATGAAAAAGAAGGAGCACTTCCACCTACTCTTGTCTGCACTCCACAGCTCCAAATAGATACATAGATGGAAACAATGGGAACTTTTGATACCTTGATATTTGTTGATACTTTTCTCCAGCACTGTGGTTGATTTTTTCCTTAAGGCTATGATGAGCTGAGAGAGACAATCTGTTAAATCAGAACTTTGATCAGACTTTCTTGGAAACATCCAAATAATGAGTTGAACTGAAACAGCAAGAGGAAACCAAAGACTCAAAATTGAAGAATATTGTTGTGGCTCACACCTCTGAAGATCTCGGCATGCTAATCAGCAGTCTTCCCAAACATCAAACACTGATTTGACACTGATAGAAAGCACTTGAAGTTCATGTCAGAACTGACGAGTGTGGAGAACTTATAGGGTGAGACCTGCTGTGCACAGGGAAGTTTGCAGTGGAGTCAGCAAGTGTTTGCAGGTGTTTTTCTTTTTTCTCCAACTCTAACTCACTCACGCGAGCTGCAAGAGTTAATGCATCGTATCTCTCTCCATCCTTTGACTCATTCGCGGCGTGTTATACGTGTGAGTGTTTGTGTGTGCACATTTGCCTAAAAGCATCAGTCCACCAGCAGGTGTGAACAACATGGTGAATCTGAGATGTGATCTTTAGCCGTGAGGACAGGGAAAGGGATTAAAAACAATCTTCCCCCTTGCCAACTGATTGCATCACAGGAATTCTGCTTCCCCCGTTTACAGTCGCTGGGTTCAATTGTAAATTCATGAGTGGTGTTTTATACTAGATGTTACTATTCAAAAGGAATATGTTTTCATCAGGAACCATAACATTTAAGACAAAACTGTTTTTAAAACATAAAACAGACATTTTGTTGTTTTGCTTTTGTATTGATCTTTATATTCTCTGTGTGTCAAAGTCCGTGTTTCGAGCTCACCCACAGATTCTAAACAGAGGCTAACAGTTACATTCAGTGATGTGTGGCGAATAGACGCTTCAGACCTTAGGTGCTCTAAACAAATACTGCCAGATGAAAACCTAGTATGTACAAATAGTGTTCAGGATCAGTGAGAGACAAATCCAAGTACTAAGTATTTTCAAAACTCAAAAATGGCTTTGAACAGGTTCAATAAACCAAAATAAGAATTGAAAAAAAACCTAAAACCAGAGTTACCAGTTTTCCATGTGACAGCATTTCTGTGGGTTAACTTGCACAGTAGGCTAGCATCAGTAACTTCAGCCAGCAGAGCAGATACAGCTAGAGCTACAGCCAGGGGAAATCATTGCAAATCCCCCTGCCTTACTTGTCCACAGTCAGGCAGAAAAGTGTTGATATCAGACAGCTCAACCAGCACTGCTCTGTGATCCGTCATGTCAGGAATCATTTCATGGGTTTCCCTTCCCCCTGAGGACCTGATAGAGGAGCGAAGAGACGAAAGAGGCTTGGAGGCTCACTGAGGGCAGAGGGTTGAGTGTGTGTGTGTGTATGTATGTGTGTGTGCATGCATGTGTGTTTATGAGTTTTTTTTTGATGTCCTGTGATTGCTTTGCTTGTGTTTGTGTGCTTATGCCTGTCTGACCCGGCGATTGCAGAAAGCATATCTGTAGTGAGAAGCTTTGGAGTATTTTTAGGGAATAGAGGAAATAAAGAATTGGTCAACACTATCGGGCTATAAGCTTTCCTACTGCAGTTTTTTTATATTCCAATTTTATTTCACGACTACTTGTGCACCATAAAAATACTTTTGAATACATATGACATGTAGTTCAAGTACAGTGTTTATTTTGGTTTTGGCATTTTATCAAGATACTACAAAAAAAAAAAAAAAAAAAAAAAAAGCAGTAACAAATTCCTTCTTGGCACCACTACAGTGTTAAAGGTCAGGGTAACAGTCTTTCTTACATGTGCACATCAACAAACAAGCCACCACTGCTGCACTCAAGGCAGTTTTCATCGCTCTGTGAGATTCATAACACAGACAGCCTTGACTGAGATCAAGGAGAAACTGCTTCCATCACATTAAAATATCTGGAATATGTGAACAGTAATACTTGACTCTGTCAGCTAACTACTTTCACAACATTTAAGGGAGTTACATTAGAAGACTAATTGGCATTCTGCGCTTGCGGCAGGATTTTTTCTTTTTGACCCTTTTGGAAGTCAAATGGAGAAATGTTTTTAATAACCTGTATTAAACAGATTTCTTTTTTTGATCATTTAGATTAATGCAATTGTAATTGTTTCAGCAGCACATGTTAAGGGTTTTCATGCTGAGCTCTGCCTTGTACCTGTATTAGTATAATGATGGTGTTTTCAAACAAACTATGTATTTCTTTCAGTGAGTGCATACTGGCTAAAAGATTGTCTACGTGCAAAAGTAAAAACATCAGAAAGAAAGAAAATTGCTATTAGATTGATTTTAATAAGGGTTAAGGGTTTCCAGCTGTGCATATGTGGCACAGCTGGAAATAGTTTTTCCATCGTTCGCTTGATAGATTTTTAATAAATTATATGATTTTAATGTCCCACATGGTTGCTTAGCAGCCAACAGCAGAAGAACGAGGCAGTACTGGGCAGGTCCCAGGTGTGAGTGTGAATATTGTGTCCTCTTGCTTTTCCCAGACATCTTACCATAAATAAGAATTTGTGCAAAGTCAATCTGTCTGTGTGTAGGAAGAAGAAAAAGTGGCCTCACTATATGTTACCAATAAGATGCCCTCTGGTCCTCTTCCTCTGTGTTCCTGTCACACCTCACATCAAAATGGTGATGGAATAATCAATGTGTGTGTGCGGGAGAGGAACAGTAAACACCTGAGAGGGTCAGATAAATATAACGGACCAGATGAAACCATAAAACCACAGCTGCCTTCATTTCCTCCCAACGACATTTACAGCCTGACTGTGTGTGCGTGTGTATGGGCTCGTGAGCACACGCGCTGTGTCAATACCTGCTTGTGTATGTGTGTGTGTTTTATTAGAGAGCAATCGGCTGCATCTTCAATTGTGTGCCTGGGTGTCTTTGTGTGTATATGTGAGGAAAGAGAGAGGTGCATAGGTCACCTCGACATTTTCCCAGTCACACACACCTTATCATCACACCTGAATGTGCTATTATAGTAGAGTTAAGGATTCATTTCATATGGTGTTGCTGTCAACCTAAACTGGGAGATTTATATATAATTTTTTTTTAAACTGTCAAATGTGAGAACATCATGAAACAATAAGACATAGCAAAAATGAACAAATGCAAAATGAAAATTAAATTGGGACAGAATCCAAAGAAACTGCAGACTGAACTGGGTGAGCTACAGTATGTAGCACTGGTCTCTGCCACTGTGTTTCTATCCTATTTTAATTTGGACTCTACTCTCACTTAAAGTGCATCCATCATTGCCTCCAGCTTGTCAGCCGAGACGAGGTGCGTTCCACTACTGTATGGAGAAACCATGGAACGAGGAGTGTGTGTGCGTATGTGTGTGTGAAAGAAAGGGTGGGAGGTAGGGATAGTTCAATGTTAAAGCTGTTCCCTGGGCAACCAAGGTCTGACAGAACAGCACAAACACAAAGTAAGCATACAACCACATACTACACATACTCACGCACATAAAAACATAACATACGCACACGCAAAAGGGGTAAAGAAAGGAAGGGTAAATGGGATACAAAGGACAGGTCAGTGTTAGTGTGAATGTGGATGACTGATAGAGAGTGTGTACATGTGGGTTTGTTCATAGGGGGCATGCTGTTCATGTATCCTGGGAGTCAAAGTGCTGGTACACCATGTTTTGTAGGGCAGGGGAAGAATGTAACACTCCGATGACTGAGCTAGTGAGGCTTGTTGTGCGACCCGATAATCTTGATGTGTGACTGTGCAGAGCTACCTCATTAGTATACCAGTTGGGGTTACTGGTAGCATAGTTGACCTTCTGGGATACAGACCATGGTATGTTCAAAATAAACTAGTTTGTTTGCGCGACCACATCTAAATGTAAAAGTGATTCCATGCAACCACACTGAAAAGCATAACAAAATACCTGCCGTCATAGAGAGGGGCGAGATGGGGATTCAAATGGGGATAAACAGTATACAGTCTCAGCCAGTCTCTCCTCAAAGTCATCTATGATGTGTGTCCACATGAAAAGCTTAAGAGAGAAGTAAAACTTTTAGCCAATCGCTGTATGATGTGGCCTTATGCTTGTAGCTTTGTCAGTTTCAAATTTTTACACAAATTATTATTATAATAATAATTTATTTGTAAAGCACGTTTCAAGCTTAAGCACAAAGTGCTTTCCAGATTAAAACATATACAGATTAAGAAATTGTTGGATGCTGCCCTTCAATCGCAATTTTAGAAAGCGGTGGGGGGTCGGGGGGTTCAGACACTGTTTGATGATCCTACAACCACTTAAATTTAGGCACACTAACTGCTTTAGGCTTTAGTTTTGGCGTTTAATATTCATCAGTGGCTTAAAGGTGTAATACGTAAGAATTTTAGTTTAAAGCATTCAGAAATTAACAAAACATATCAACAGAATGTGAAGAAATCTTTTGATTTGTCTTTGTATTGAGATATTTACTGAAGTTAGCATGCTAACCAGCTAGCTTGAGCCCATACTGTCCTGTTCACCACTTTCTCCCACTTGACTCCTCTCCTGTCCGCACTGTGTCTTTGTCGTCCATGAAGTCAGTGTCCTGGTCGGAGCTGCTGTAAATCACCACTGTGATATATTCCCTGTTGTCAAACTG